TTCTTCAATGACAGATCTGTGTCAGCATTCGGAACAACCTCTTGGTGCCAGTGGGTGCTGTTGCTTCATAGGAAAGAGTCACGAAATCCAGGCTAAAAGGTACATGTATGTGAATACAATACAAGAACTGGCCCTGGGCTCTGGGAGAATGTGATCAAAATTAGGGAGGTTTATGCAGGACTGTGGGATAATCTTGATTAGTTGAGCAGGGAATATTGTGCCACTTTTGTGCATTGGTCTTTTGTTTATGACAAAACCCAATGTCAGCTCTATTTGGTGTGTAACAGCAGTGCATCCCTACCGTGTGCTTTCCTTGCTGTAATAAGGGAATGCACAAAGATATGAAACTGTCAGCTGAAACAGAATGGGAGCTGTCAGCCTGATGAGACTGGATCTATCAGAAGACAAGTCTTTATTTTGGTTTGTTGGGTTTTTTTTGTCTTTTGTCTAAATAGCTGTTCAGGATCTAGTATGGTATTTCACAGTGCATGCATAGAACAAAAGGACTCCACTACCTGACCCTTCCACCTCTACCCCGAAGCCTGGAAGAACTGTCTTCACTTCCCCACCTACTTGGCCTCTTCATAAGCTCTGTTAAGGATGTTTAGATTCTTCCCTAGTTTGCAGAACTTTTCATTTCGATGTTAAATACAGCATAGCCTTGAAATAATGTCTGTATGCCTCTTGTGTCTGAAAATCCTACTGCAGGTGTCAGTCACAAAGTACCACATAAAGCCTTCTCTGTACTAGTTTGTCACATACATTTGGAACTGCTTATTGGAGCAATAGTAAAAGTATTCTCTATATTGAATATAAAAATACTTACTACATATAAGATAACTAAGACTGGGTAAATATTCTTGTGGTGTGTACAGAAACCCCCTTTTCCATACTTCTTTAATGCCTGGATAAGTAACAGTGTCTGAACCGACACTGAAAATAGGGTCATGAATTTGGTAGATGTTCTGAAAAGCAGGTCAGTATGTGTATAAGAAACTGAACTGGCAGCCTGGAGTGAAAGTGTTACTGCATAAGTAAATAAGGGAATTGACTGTTAATCGGAAATATAATGTTCTAATTCTTGCTTTGCATAACTAACAGGCAATTAACCTCCATTGACTCACAATGTGAAAAGTGATCCAGAGATGTAGATCCTTTACTTTGGTAACTGTCAGTTGGGAAGAATGTTTCTCTTGACAGGTGATTAGGGGTTAAATGAGCTGAATAAAATATGCAATTTTTGCTGCTTTTCCCACTTAGTATAACAGCTATTATATGAAGCATTTTCCTTACATTAGTTGTAATGATGGCTTTAACTGATTAGCCTTATTGGAAGAACTGGTTTTGATTGACAAAGATGTAATTTTGGTATGCTCAATATCTGCAAAAATGCCTGATGTGTATAGAACCTCGATCAAAGTATTTTTACTTATTAACTTAACAAACTGCTCCTTTTAGGGACGTATTCATGCACCAGCTTTGAAGGGAGCAGCAGCATCTCATGTCTCCATAATGTGGTACCTGCCTGTATCTATGGGGAATGATACCGCATCACAGGAGTGTTATCTCAGCTCTCGCAGACCCCACAGGCATCACCTCACAGCTGATCTGTGAAGCCACAGGCTCCAGTCATTCGGTTTTGGAAGAATAACTGCTCTCCAAATCACCAGGTCCACCAGCACAGGTCGGTTTGCTCTCACTCGCGGAGAGCAGCATTAAGTCTGTTTGGTGCTCGTTGACTCTAGATGCTGAAAAAACCCAAAATAGATGTGAGAAAAGAGGGCACTTTCTGAGCATGGGAATAGGGAAAAGGATCAACACTGAAAATATTTACAATGAGCTCTAACTTGTAGTAAGGTCTTGTGTAACAACAGCTGAGGTTACGCTGGAGCGTATCAGTAAACCATCGCACAGTTGCTGGAAGGATTGAGCGTAATTCTGTTGAGGAGGGGTTGCTGTGGAAAATGGAAATAGAAATGTGGTCTTTTTTTTTTGTGTTTTGTTTGGTTTTTAGCTGTTTCTCTTGACAGGGAATTGAATTGTTTCGTAGCACAATGTTTTTCAATTTTTCCCTTGTGGATTCACTTCCACGCCTTATTCCCCCCTCATCTACAGTTTAAGCTCTTATTTAATGATCTTTAGTCTACAAGAAGCTTGATTCTTATGGCCAGCTTAGCCGTAGCTACTGAATGTAGGTTAAAATATACCATCTCTTTCCAGATGAAAGCCTCAAACGCTGCTCTAACGCAACTGACTTGAAGAAGACTTGATGCTCAGGTAACTACTTGGAGTTTCTGCTGTGGGGTAGAAATTAATCTGTGTTTTGCTAGAGATTGATGTTTTTGGAGGCAAATAATCACATTTATGGGAAACCAAGGTAATAGTTCATCTGCAATGGAGGTGGCAAGGTAGAGAATTCACCTACTGGAGCTCTGCTGGCTGTGACTGTCCTAGAGTAGACCACACTGATGAAAGCAGCTTTTCACAGCCCCTTGAAAAGTGCTGCGCTATTACACTTGTGGTACTTCAAAGTTAAAATTCCTAGATTGAAATAAATGCCTTTTGAAGAGTTTAGATCAAAAGAAAGAGAACTACTAGAACATCAACAGGAAATAAAACATTTTTATTGAATATCTGTGTAATATGTATGTTATTTTAACGACAATTGGAAAACTCTACTGTGGGAAGTCACTACACAAAGTGAAACAAAATATAAACCACCTCATCAAAAATGAAGGTAAAATACGGCTAAAGTTGTCAGCTCGCGGGCCACGAGCGATATGGCAGGATAAAACACCCCAAACATTTCTACAAGATACAGAGAAAACCCACACAGAGAAACACTCAAGCAGGCAGTAAATATACACAAAGGCAACTAGGATCTTTCTACAGCATCAGATTCTAATACTTCACACAGCTTTGTCAGAAAGGTACATGTGGCTTCTTTGAGGATGAAAATGTCATCTTGGTCACATGGCAGGTTCAGTCTCCGAGAATCATTGTACCTTACAAACCAGTTCTACGGTGACATTCAGTCTGGCAGTGTAGGAAGAGAAAGCCTTAAGAACATCTTAACACAATGAGTCAGTCCTGGCAGTTTGAACCTGCGGCTATCCTGAATGAATAACTGAAAGCTGGAGACCATGAAGCTCTTATGCTGGGAAGCTGACTGTCTACTTCTTCTCTTTGGTGGGGTTTGGTCCTTAAGGTTCAGATTTTAAAGTATTCCAGCTTGATGCTTTGCATGTATGCGCCTGTTTCTATCAAAAAATGTCTCGCTTGTGTTTTTTCTGTGTTTCATGTAAAAAAAATAAAGAAAATGGGTCTTGCTTTTCTCACTTTTGGAGGTGGGGAGAGATCCACTTTTATTCTTCCACTTCTCTGCTGGTTCTTTTGCCCTCAGTGTACCGAAAACTGGTGCTTGGCCATCACTGCACTGACCTGTCAGTCTGTCCCACCCCTCACAGAAGCAGAGCCTTGAGGGAGGCTGGAGTCTAGTTTTCAGTACACAGTTCTCTGATTACATTCATCTTTGTTCTTTGTTTGCAGTAATTTCTGTTAGATTCAGTTGGTAAGAATATTAATGGTTAATTCTCGTGCCTCCCTCCAAAAGGCAGCAGCATTTCCATATTTCTGGGGTAGTTTGCATTGCTGAAAATAATGAACTCTTCAAAGCATTATAAATATATTCACAGCTTGGAAGATAAGCAAGGGGCCTCAAAGGACGATACACGAGATAGAAGTGATGCCCTAAATGACTTGATGAGATGGTAAAAGCTGAGATGACATGCTGGCTAGCTGTAAGATGACTATCAACAGTAAAGCGGGGGGGCGGGGGAGGGCGAGGGTGATTGGAAATGTAGAGTATTGCACAGGGCTTGACAAAATGCTGCGTGGTCAACCCATTCAATATAGCATCCTTGTCCCCTGCATAGCTCTCCAGTTCTAAATTGGTCCGTAATAACTAGAACTGCTTGTGCTATGCGTTCCTTCGGCAGTGCAGTAGAAGGGAATGGCAGTATTATTACAATATCACTACGGAATAAATTGATTGCTATCCACTGAGAAAACTACATTTCTAAGCACACACGGCAGTCACAGTGATACACAGAGCAGTCTTTCAAGACTCTTATGGAATGACTAATAGCTTCATAATAGTGCCATTTACTACATAATAACATTGAAAACATTTAAAAACTCCTCCTGAAACGAGCATCTAGTATACAGAAGAGGTTGCTTCAGTTTTCTAGAACTTGTTCTTTGTTTTCACTTTTTTTTTTTAAAGGACAAATTAAAACTTAAGTATAAATAGTATATAAAAGGTCACTAGCTGTTCTCTTTTGGCTTACTTTGAAGTGCATTTAGAACTATGGCTAAATTTTGTCATCTTCTGATGGGATTACAATACTGTCTGTTTACCATGAAACTATTTTGTATAATAAACTCACACGGCTGTGTCTAAAAAATATTCTGCATTCCTTCTAATCTGAGTTAGTATAATAAAATATTTCGTTACAAAGTCTAATGTGCAAACTCATTATAATGTGAAATCATGGATGGAATTCACAGTATGCAAATTTTGTATAAAGGTGATAACGGAGAGCTACTCTTGTTTTCATGGCAGCATTTTGCTACTGCTGTGTCTCCCTCCTCTCTTCTTCCCTTCCCTGCAATGGTCTTACTTCGTATGATAAACAAAATCATTGCCTCTTGTGGAACTGCTTCCCCAACTTTCACTCTAAAGCCATTCCAGTCTGTTATGTGTTTGCTTTGGAATATATACAAAGGAGTCATATCCTGGCTACATCTTCTTGAGGTCAGCCATGGAGCTGCTCAGATCATGCTAAGTTGCCTGTGAAAGAAGTCTACCCAATTGGATTTGCCCCTCCAAGATTCACTGTGGATGCGTAGCGTGTTATTAGGATGGTCCAGTTGAAAGCTCAGATTTAAGTTGTCCTTTAAGATGTCAGTGTAACACTACTAGTGCCTTACAAGTTGGATTTTTGTTTTTTTCTGGAATGCAGACGATACAGTAGTTACCCTATAATATATTATCAGCTCTCCTATATCTCAGTCAATTTACATAATTTAAAATAGAACATCTTATTAAAAACATCTAGATATACACAGATTAGGAAACGCTTACAACATACAAATACACAAACTAGAAATAAATTCTCAGCATACTGGTGTATATATACAACTGTGTGATACAATAAATAATTCCTGTCATGCTCTATCTACACATCATATTGCTTAAAAGAAGAGTAGATCTGGGGGGCAGTGGTGAAATGAAGCGCCTGTAGAGGGCTCTCTACATTTAAATTTGTGCAAATTAAAACTGGCATTTAAAAGTACAACTGATCTGTGTCAGGAACACATGGCTGGAAATGAAAGGACCCATATTACTGAGGTATTTACAGATACTGGCTAAAGAGCACTATGTGGGCAAATGCAGAAAGGCTTCTTCTTCATTTTCTTCTTCCTACTTTAATTTAATTTAATTTTATTTTATTTAATTTACTTCTTGACTGCCAGCATGGCATCTACCTCCTCCTCAGGCTGTAAGGTGTGCCACTGTGCAATGGGCCGCCGGGGGTTGGCCAACATGTCTGACCAATGCCGCAGCTCCGCTCCGGTGCTGTTGTAGCCCACAAAGACTTTCCCGATGGCATCGTTCTTGCCAATCTTGTCATAGTCCAAAACAGTCACAACAATCTGCACTTTCTACAATGAGATAGAGAAAGACCAGTTAGCATGACAATAAGGGGAAGGTGGGCAGGGATGACTCTTGGGACAGGCAATGGCAATGGGAGAGTATGAAGAAGGCAAGATTCTTCCCGCAAGAAGCAAATTCAAACTTTTGTCTTTGCTTCTTATGAGACTTCCAAATAAAATTACATTCACAACCTCCCTGTAACTTGAAACTTGCTCCCTTGCATCAAAGAGCTTCATATAGGAACTGAGGTTGATTTTTATCTTTAACAAGTTACCAGCTTTTTTTTGTTGCTGTTATTGAGCACTTAGACTGCTAGAAGTCTGTAGGGCTAAAATGGAGATAAGCTTATCAAAATAGTGCAATTTAACACATTACTGTTTACGTAAATAAGCTAGCCAAAATTCAGAAATGGCTGTACCAAAAGTTAATGTTTGCAATGTTGTACTCTGTTCTGTTGTTTTTCTGCTTCTAAACAGCTCTTACTCATTCATCCAGCATGACAATCACCCACTTTCAGATAACTTCGGAAAAATAACCCTTATGGTTACTGTATGCATACACACACACACACACATTTATCTCTGTGTGTGCATGTGCACATGTCTAAATACATGTGTATACATTTATCTATAGAGTCTAGAAAACAGGCTACGTGCTCAGGGGAGCTGGGAAGAAGTATAAAGCCCACTGTCTTTGGGCTCTGACATGTTGTCGCTGCCTCTGATTGAGCTGGGGCTGGAGTGCCACTTCTGCTGTAGGAACAGTGACCTCTGGCAAACAGGGTTAAACTAGTCCCATAGAATCCATATGAGCCCATCTGTCACAGCTGATAGACAATTTTCCCTTCACTTAAGACTGCAGCACACTGGCAGGTGAGGTTCAAGCCAGGCTTCTGTGTACACATTTGCGTGCACAAGCACACATTCCTTCAGGCCATTAATACTTGCTGAAAGAGCACAAACAACTGTTCCTTCAGTGAAGTGGTGCTCATCCCCAACAGCACCTAAGATAATAACAGCCTTGGGCTGATTTTACTGATTTATAAATGCCTCTTTATAGGGAGCTTTATTTTTAAAGATGAACATACAGTTTCTTTTCCCAATTCCTTTCTATCTCATGGCAAACAAACACAGCTCCCTGTTATAGTGTGAGTTTTGTGGAGAAAAAAATGCCCTGAAACACATTTCTTCCATATTTTTTTTCTTTAAATATATATATATATATATATAATCTGGATTTCTTACTAGAATGATTAATCTCAGTGCTTGCAATAGGATTATCTTTCAGAAGTAACTATTTTAAGTATATCTGCAAGACCAGGCTCATGAGGTCTATTTTATAGAGGCCATTCCTTTACAAGATCGTACAATTCACTGAGCCAGAGAAAGATGATTTCAACAGACACTAAAGTATTTATATAGTTGCTGATGACAAAAGTGTACATCAAACTCAAGATTCTCTTTCCCCAGAGCACTCACGATAAAAAGCAATATCCTGAAGCAAATATTTCTAGATGCCAAAATCATGTTTCAGTGCTGCTGTTGCCAATACATTCACTTCTAATGTTGATGGTACCTCCCCAAATGAGCATTTATGTTTTAGATGCATGGTACAATCACAGATATAAAAGGTAAGCATGAGACTAATACTTTATGGTATGAAGTTGCCAGCTGTACCTAGAAGCCTGGGGGCTAGTTACTACTGGATTTTTTTTACAACAATGAGCACTGTAAACAAAAGACTCTTTTCCTTGCTCTATAAAGATGTAAAAACAGCTAGCTCAGGTTATTAACTCTGAGATGATTTCCACTTCATGGTCTCTGGCTTTAATCTGCAGAAATACGTGAGCATGTCTTCGCCTTTGTATCATGTATTAAAAGCACAACTGCACTGCAAAACCTAAGAGGTGGTAGTAGAAAGCACCACCTCTGCTAACAAACACTTGGATTAGCAGTTTCCTCACTGTGATTAAGCATTCTTCGGACTGAAAGGGCCGAGGGGATGTTGCTGCCTAGAGAGGCAGTCTGTCTTAAATGTGGCAAAACACGGGCTTGATCTACCTTGTTGCAACAGGATTGACTTCCTAAGTGGTGTTCTCCCATTACACTTAAAGACTATCACTTTCCTTCTCTTAAGAGCCAGAATCCATAGTCACTATTTAATTGTTGAAAAAGTTCATGTTTGGCCCATTTTAAATTACACAGATGTACTGCTACTGAGCTACCTTCCCTCCAAGAACTCTCTTCTTTGCTCTCCAAGAATCAAGGAATTTGTATAGCCATTAGTTTTTATTTGACTGTAAAAGTTTGCTTAACGGCTTTTACATGAATTACACAAAATTCACAGCCATTCTTACCATATTAAGTCTAAATAACATTTAAAATGTGTTTTTCTAATGATGAAATCACTTCAGTATCCATAATGAAATAACTTCTAAATATAGTCTTTTATAACTTAACTCCAAAATAGACTGGCGTACGACCAAAGTCCATAATTGAAGATTTTAAATTGAGGCAATATAGCAAAATAAATAGCTATAAAATCATTGTAATAAACTTATCCCTCCGTCCAAGGAAGCAAAAATTTAAAAAGCTAAACTGCAATGCTTTTTAAGGGGCCTATATCCACCTTACAAAACTAACTTAGAAGGCAAAATGGCCAAGGACATACAGAATGCACCTAACCATGCCAAATCTCTGATCTGATAACTTGTATGTGCCCACTGTAGTTCTCCAGCCCTCTCCCTATTTGGAAATCAAGGCATTCATTGCCTAAATTGACAGAGGGGCTCAATTTGCTTAACATTTTTTTGCCTCTGGGTCTTTGATGCTTGTTATGAGACCTTTCACAAGCACTCAAACCAGCTTTCACTAAAATCAATGGGAATTAGGCCCCACTGGATTTCCCACTTTTTGATTCCTAGGGTCCAGAGGCAGCTGTATATGATGTGGGGCATGCAGAAACTCTAAACAGGCTAGTCATGCATTCAAGTCCTACTGCTCACCTTATCTAGTTCTGCTATCTTTATTGGTACCAAGTCAACAAAAACCAAGCACACAGCTTAAATGTAGGCCTTGGCTCCTGCGCATTTCTCTAGTACAGTTGCTATCAAAATCCAAGATAAGAGCCTCAAAAGTCTCTCATCTCAAAACATGCTCTCATCTAATCAAGAAGGGGACCCCAGTTTGCTAGAGGCCATTTAAATCCGTTTAAACATTTAAACTACAAGTAGCATGGCACCTAACTCAGACTTCTCTAAAGCCACTAAAGAATGTGTTCTCCGGCCATTTTAATTATGGACAAGAGTATTTGCTTATGACACTGACATTAGATGCAGGTTTAAATTCCTTTAGGGAGGAGAGTGATTTGGATGTAGGTTTCCCACATGCCTCCTGAGACTGTTAAGAAGAGCTTATCTGTTGTGAGAAGAGGCTAGTTAACATCAGAAGTTGGTAAAACTCACTCTGGTAAGTGAGAGATGCTTTAGCTTGCAATATTCCAAAGGCAGGTAACTGATTCCCTGAAAAAACTGATACAATGCCTTGTCCTGGTATTTCCCACTGCTAATGTAGGTGACTTCCACCTCACTGTGGTCACTTCTGAGGTCTCTAATTTTAGTCACTGAACTCTCCAGCAGTAGTACCTGGACAACTGCTGTTGTACCCTGCGGTGCCAAGAGAGCAGGCCCTGTAGTACTGACCCCTGGGATTCTTGAATGTGTGTTTCCAATGGACATAGTCATCACTGAAAAAGTTTTCATAGTGTGGTGAATAACTGAAAAAAAGTTGTGATTAAATAAATCATGTGTTTTACTTACGAGAGATGCTACAGTGCTTTTAGTAAACAGGACTGATAAATGCATAGGGAACATAAATTTAACTGATGATGCCAATTTATTATTTCAAATAATTTGGGGGGAATTGCTATATATGCACCTTTTCCTTTAGCTCTGTGCTTTTTCTGCTGGCACATTCATTTACTATCTCCCTGTAGACCTTTTTTTCTGGAATCCATTTTATGTTAACAGAAAATGTCAGTTATCCATTTTCTCACTGATGAATCAAAGCTTCGTAAGTACTGTACATTTTATCATTTCCCTCTTGAAGCAGTCACACTCATCTAACATAGCAGGGGGCTGGCACCTAGGTGCTAATGAAGGCATGCACACGTGATAATTAACCAGATTCCTGTTAAATATTTATAAGGGCTGAGAAATGGAATGCAGAGGGAAGACAAAACACTGACATTACCTGAATTTGCTCGAATGGTACTTCAAAGCTGAAAGACTCATTGTAGTAGGGATTCAGGGTGTTCTTTTTAATTGTAGTCTTTTTCTTCTTCAGCCTCTTACCATTCTGCATCAGATGGATCTTCACATAGGGATCTAAGTAGTCAAGAGAAGAGGTAGAGCTAAGCAGGGTAGTTCAGTGTGTTTTCTACAGACCTTAATCCCACACATTCGAGTTGATGAGAGAAAAAAAAAAAAAAATCAATAAAATCCTTTAGCAACAAACAGCTTGTATTTAAACAAAGTCCTAATTTCCACTATAGAAAAATGCCTGTACGACTGCGAAGTGTTCCTGATGGAAAAAGGTACAAAACATTTATCGCATTATCTCCTTCACATCTCAAAGGAGGAGCAAATTCATGCCTAACTTTACTCCATGGCTCATTAACCATCCTGGAAGTGTTTTTACTTCAATGTTATTTATTTACGGAAAACATTTCTTAGCAACTGGACTGTGGAGTGGTTTTCCCAAGAGCTGTGAGCACGGCCAAATGCACACATGGTGGGCACAGTGCTTGGGTGGCTGGCTGCTCTGAAACCACCCAGCAGCTCTTCACATCGCTCCTTGGGCAGGAGCTGCACCATGGTTTTCCCATCCTCTGACCTCCCCATTGGGTTGTGATTGACACAGCGCAGTGTCCATGGGTCTGGTGTGTGACCAGACTGCATGGAAGGAAGGGACTTTGCCCATTAAATGCTACTTCCCTACCTCAGTGCTGCCTGCAGCCAGGTAATGTGCAAGCCACTGTATCGGTATAAATTACGAATTGGTTTTGCCACTTTGTATTGAATTCCAGTGGTTGTTTTGTAAAACTTCTGGTGGTGAATTAACAGAACCGATTTGGTTCCTAATCAGGTGTTCCTCACGGAAACACAACTCTTACAGATGTTACTGCTGGAAGCTTTGATGGAAGCTTTGCCTGCTTAAAAAAATTAGTGCTGTCAGGCCTTAATCTGTTAAAAGAGTTAATGTTCTCATTTAGAGAATGAACTAGAAGTTCTTAACGTTGGTGTTCATTGTCAGTACCTTCACTGAGCTCAGTTATTTTTCTGTTTAGGTCTACTGTGAAGCACTATTTGAAGCATCCCAAGCTCACCCTTTTCAACAACCTACATGGTACTCTCACAAAAATATGGGTAGGTACCTCTCTTGGCTTTATGCAGCTTAACTGTGATGTATGTCAAGGTAAGACTTACTTCCCCCTAATGAGCTGGTAGGAGCTATACAAAACGCCAGCCAGCCACAAGTCATCTGTGGCATACATAAAGAGAGCCTGAATGCAAATTATCAAGGGAAAAGGCTTATTTCCCTTCTGAGAAAAGGATCGGGCTACAGAAGAAGGAGAAATGAATGTTGAACTTATATCATTATGAGCTAACCATGCTTTATGACTCTGAAAGGAAATTCATGTTCAGAAGAGTAATTGCATTCTGCTACAGTCAAAATATGCCCTACTGTGAAAGACTGAGATGTTCGGGATTGTTAAGTTACTGGAGTGACTTCATCACAGTCTAAAGTACTTCTGAAGGGAGCATCGTTTTGGTAGTGGGCTCTTGAAGCCAGCAGACAAGGGTATAATAAGATCCAATTGCAGTGAGAAACAAGACAAATTCTAACTGAGAAATAGTAATATATTTTAGTAGTAAGACTGAAACAGCTGGAAGAGCTTCTCACTGATTGTGATGAACTCTGTTACAGAGGGTTAAGATTCCTTCTCCCTCAAAAGACTCAAATTCAAACAGATATTTAATCTGGGTAGACTTAGACTCAAGGCTAGATGGGGGATTGCATGGGTTCCTTTCGGCTGCACAATGTATGAATTCAGGAATATCATGTGAAGAGCAGAAATGCTAGCAAAAAAACCAACAGAAGTCTTTCTTTTTTTTTGAGTACTGAGCTCAACATCACCGCATACAGAGTTTTGAAGCTGGAAAAGAGGCAAATCTGGACTCCTTCAACATTAGTTGATACTTGAGAAAAACTCACTCATTACTTTTGCTGAGGCTCCATGCTGAATGCACAATTGTTTTAACATGAAAATAATGTTTTCGGTATAACCAATATAGAGTAAAAAAGTTCAGTAGTCAAGAAGGTAGAATGTTAGGATATGGAAATAAGGTAAGAAACTGCTAAAGCATAATTTGTGTAACTAGAACAAGCTGGGAGGCTAAACAGTACAGTAACACATTATTATTAAGTGGATTAGAACTGAAGAATTCTATTAAAATAAATGCAGTCAATATAAGCCAATCCTTTACCAATCTGTTCTAGTACATGCACAATATACACAGATTTGACGATTACTCACATGCCAGTAAGGAACTGTAGAGCAATGATTCATACAGTGGTGCAGATATATTCCTATCTCAATAAACGTTCCATTTTGCAGAATAATATTTTAAACTTAGAATTCTAGTGTTTGCGAATGTTTGGAGTCTATGTGTACTTTAAGTGATTTGCTTCTACTCACTTTCTAGATTTTCTATCTTTGTGCTAGTATTAAAGCAAAATCTGACCATGGATAACTCATGGCCACAAGACAAGGCCCAGAAGCTAGGTTTCTGTGGTTTCTTTTTCATGTCCTGATCACCACCTTCTGTTTGTCTCTCTGGGGGGGTTGAGTTAGTCAAATGCCCCATGTTTAGTATGAAAGATCCAAGTGATACCAGATTGCTACTATACTGCAGAATTTCCAGAGGCAGAGGTCCCAAACAGAGCACAGAAGGGGGCATAATGTGTGACACAATATCCTTACCTTTTTTCATCCAAAGTTAGAATTGTCATACTAATCCAAATACAAACTGAATGCCACTTGACTGAAATAATCTTCCTTCTTTTCTAGTTTCAGAGGAAGGTATTAAATAATTTTACATATCACATAAGCATTTCAAATGAGAACGGGGTGTCCAGCTCAAGTACGTGGATGGGCCACCAAGAGATTTTAACTGAGTCTATCCTCGATAGACTCTATATCCACTTCCTACTTCTTGGAAGTGTCCTGGTCTTACCTGGTTCACCCCTCTCTTCATTCTTCTGTGTCTCATATGTATGTCCCTCCACCACTGCATTATCTCCAGTTACACTCTCTTATATACCAGGACATAAACCCCAACTCCCTCAACTCTCCAGAAATCTGCCTGTGACCTACACAGGCAACCTGATACCTAGGAACAGACTTTCTTGCAACTTCATGAATAAATCTCTGAAAAAGAGATTCTCTTGCACCAAGTAACAGAAGCTGAACTGCTTGGAGTCAATTACTGGAAGAAGGGAGGATAATCAAAAGAAAGCAGAAGCTCTGGAAGTGCCAGTCTCCAGTGATTTTTCCGAGATAAGGTTTAGTGCTAATGGAAACATCTTTTCTCTCTACTTGCAACACAACCTCAGTGCTGGCACCATTACTCATGCTGAGTAATACTTTAATATGTAAACAGTCCCAATGAATAAGTGAGACTAGTAAGGATGAGAGAACTGATACAGCAGTCCAGCAATGATAAATTGTCTGTTAAGTGCGGAGGCTGGGTATAAAGTGCAGAATTCTTTTGACCAAGTAGGAATGTCTGCATCTGATGTCAAGGGAAATAAATAAACATTTCTCTTTATGTACTGTGCATCATTATTCCACAGTAAATATCTGTCTTTGGTCAAACTATTTATTTATTTCTCTCCACTGATTCAAGACAGCGTATGTGCTTTCATGTACACAGTTACACTGGAGGAAAGTTCGAGTTAGAAGAGGGGAACATCACTGTTTTTCTCTCCAGTTTTATTCCTTTCACTTAATGGGATTTGGATCTGCATTACATCCACAAATATCTGTGGATGGACCTTGCCGTCTATCTGGAAGCAGGGATGTTCCATCTAGACCACCACAGATGTCCCTCTGCTGAAGGGGACAGAATGGCTCTGTACCCTTTGCCTAATAATTCATTTAAGCAATGTGTGGGATTAAATAAAATTCTGCTATTTATTCCCTCATTAACGGTCTACCCATGAATGCTAAAAAGATGTAAAATTCATAACCAGTTGTACATTGTAGACTTTAAGACAATGTCTCAAGGGAGGCTGCTGAACAGCTTTTAAAGCACTGGGGGACCAGCTGACACAGTTTGTTTTCCTGAAGTCTGCAGTATGTCTTTCCCTGGATTTTGTAGTAAGATGCCAATACATTATTTAAAAGGCAATAGAAATGGTATGTAACATCAGGTAAAGACTTCTGGAGTCATTTGGACCATGAAACTTTTATACACAATTAGAACCCTCTTAAAGTAACCACTAGTTCATCATCATCACCACATTGTAGATGAGATGCACTTCATTATTAGAGATTTTACAAAAGCAAACTTTACAGCTGAAAAAACACCCACAACTCTAAAGAAGGAAATTGTGGCTAATGACAATGTCAGAGGAAAAGGTGGAACTTGAGAATGACTGCTTCCCAGTGGATTTTAAGATGAAAAATTTGTAATAGGGATCAGTAGTTAATGAAAAGTCATTTTCCACCTAGGTAGGAGAGAGTTCAGCACACAGAATTCCAGCAGTACAGACCTTCAGCAGAAAACTGTCAACAACGTTGACGAATTTGAAAGATGCTACAGGGATAACAGTGGAATTGACTGTGTGTGCAATTAGAGTCCCAAGCATGTGTGCAGGGAGAGCCTAGCGGCTTAAGGAAAAAAGTCCCACACAGCTCTGTGGGGTGGGATCAGAGAAAACCCTCCACAAGCCTTGAGTAAAGCCTAACATGACTGATAGGAAAAAAATCGAGCTAGAGCAAACTAGCTATGGACACAGCCAAATAAAGTTTCATATGATGAAACACTGTAATAAGATGTTCTCAACTGAAATGTAGAAACAAAGAAGAAATACAGTGCCAGAATTGCCTTTAGCTGTATTTCTGTCTTCAAAACTTTTGGGGCAACTGGGTTCTACTTAGCACGTTTTTCCCCATTAGAAGAATTTTTATGCCAAAGCAGTGCCAAAGCACACATCACTGACGTTTACAGCAAAGGTGTCAGCAGACAGTAGAGTTTCCGTTCCAGGAAGCAGAACGGATTCCTGAAGAGCTTGGAAACTGATGCAAGAAGAAAATCAG